TTTGAAAATGGTCAAAATATTCGAAAATATTCGAAAACGATTTCCAATCAAATTCAAACGCGTGAAAATATGCGTACCGGGGTAAAGCATACCCGGCGGCAGGCTCTAGAGCTCGCCCAATTTAGCAAAGTCCCGCGAGGCGTCGCCCCCAAGTCCGCGACCTGCCTGGGTACTGCTTCACCAGCAAGCGCAAGAGGATGCCAGGCCGTGCCTTAATTTGTTTGAAATTAGAAGAGAGAGTCAGTCCTTTCGTATTCTTTCTAGTGTTCCTTATCGTGTTCGTCAAACTCTAATGAGCTGAAACGATGCCAGAGGAGTTCGGCGGAAGTTCCTCGTCTTCGGCTGTCCCGCCTCGACGTGGTGAGGTCCCTCCAGCCGGTGCGGCTGCACGTGTGAAGCTTGAGAGCGAACCAAGTGACTCGGACGGTGGTCCAGCAAGAAAACCGCAAGCCAAGCCAAAACCTGCAGCAAGCAGCCGCCCAGCAAACGTAAAGCGAGAGCAGCGTGAAGGACTCGCGCAGGAACAGCCACAACAAGCACGAGAACCTCCACAAAAGGAAAAAAAACCACGTAAGATCCGTGGCGCCGTGGTTGACAACGCAGACCCACAGCTCGCCTTAAATGAGCAGGCGAATCTCCTCGATGGAGATGTGGCGTCGCCTGATCCACCACCAGGCGAGGCGGACGAGCCAAAGCCAAAAGCAAAGGGCCGCCCGAAAGGCAGACCGAAAGGCAAGGCAGCAGCCGTAGCGAAACAAGTGAACCAGCCGGGCAACCCTGCTGCTCCAGCCGAACAGGCCGGCGAGGATGAGGCGCAGGCGCAAGAGGCCCCGCTCGCCAAAAGAGCTCCAGTCCGTCGACCACGTCCAGCAGGAGGCCGAGCAGAACCCGAAGCGGAGGACCAGGCCACGCCGCCACCGAAACCAAAGAAAAAAGTGAAGCTGTCAAAAATTCAGGAGCGACTCCACGAAGCCTTCGAAGCATCTGACGCCTCTGTGGAGTCTGAGAACTGGGTCTCCGATGATGAGTTGGAGACAATGCCTGACGGCCAGGACGTGATGGCAGAGATCCAGAAGCATGCTGTTGTAAAAACGGCAGAGCAGCACATCTTCATGGATCCGCTAGAGGCTACGTTCCCTATCAAAGTCATCACCGGCGTCTATGTGCCGTCGCAGGGTGGTGGAAACGTTCGCCACGCACGAGAAACCATCTGCGCGGCCATCTTGACTGGCTTCATCAAGATGAAGGACGATACCGGCGTCCCGTTCAACCTCGAGCGGCTTCGTATCTTCATCGCGGAGGAAAGGAGTCTTACCAACTGCTGGCACTATCATGTCTTCATTATGGTTGGTCCTATTCTCACACCTTATCCGTACTTAGCTCCAATTAAAGTCCTCAGTCTCAAGCTCCTTTCCATCTCGCTAACATTTTCGAAGTGCCGAAGAAGACACGCCGCTTCCCAGAGTTTATCAAGAGCATGACGAAGCATACTACGCTATCCATCTACTGGCGCGTACTACGTGTTGGCACTGGACACAACGCAACCGCAACAATCATGGGCTACTTGTGGTGCCCGCGAGTGTTATGGCCTGTCCGCGAGTGTTCTGCCATCTTCCACAAAACAGCGACGTCCATTAGTCTGGCCTCCTCTAATTTGCGACAAAATCTGCGACGCGACCCCGCTGATGTACCGCTTTGTGCCTCCGGTGCAGCTCGTCAATCTCCGCCTGGAGGAAACGGCGAAGCTCGGCAACCGTCCGATGTCCATGTACGACGCAGCAACATGGTTTTCCGCAAATTTCACAGAGCTCAAGTTAAGCGCATCAGGAACCTGCTGGCCAATGCCTCCGTGGGCTCGTTTTAGAAGCAAAACGGACCCGCTGAAGGGCATTTGGATTAGAGTCCCCTCTGCTAATGTTGGGAAAGACGAACTTCACGAAGCTTGACAAACTAGTCGAGGACCAGCTCCAAGAGTGCCGCAAGCGTGAGGATGATCAGGAGGGGATGCATTGGCTTCGGTTCAAAAGGTTTTTGCTGAAGACGACCCAAAAGGAGGTCGCGCAGCTCTTCGAGCGAGTCTCCGACCGGATAAAAGCACCACTCTTCGAGCTCGGACTCGCTGAGCGACTACGCCGTGGCGTCAAGGAAAAATTTATGGCGTAGGTTCGTGCGGCAGCCCGAGACCGAGGCTCTGCCTCGCCCGCCGTCTGCCACTTCTTTCTAATTGCTGCGTCTGCGATACACAGAAGAACGAAAAGGGGAAGCCGCACGAAAAGGGTACAAAGCTGAAGGAGTTGCTCCGCGTCGCTGAGTTTCATGACGTCATGCCGGAGATCGGTGGGTTTGTCGAACGGATTCTGCTGAACACTTATGGAGCCCCTTCGCTTCGTTTGCTTTTTACCTCACGCGTTTTGCATATAGGGTGGGCGTCTCTAATCATTTTCTGGAAGGGAGAACGCCATTCTCCTGCAAGGTGCTGACGCAAGCTCCGGAAAAACAACATTGGGCTTCGCGTTGGCGGACCTCCTGGAGGAGGAGCAAGTTTTCTTAAGTCTCGGCAATTAACTCAGGTCTAGTCTTATCTTCTGTCAACCGCAAGAACTTCGTCTCTCCCAGTGCTCTAATATCTCGCCCCGGGACGCAAGGATCATTTCTCTTCCAAGGATGGAAGCCGTACCATTGCCGCCTGATCTTGTTGAACGACATTCTTATGGTTTCATTTAATTTCGTCGATTGCTAACATCAGCGCGCCCGCGTGCTCATTCGGATGCACAATGGTCGCGATTTGGTATAGGGAACGGTCTGGCTCTAATTTCCGTCTGTCGAATAAGTTGCCACCCGACACACTGCTTCCGATTTTAGAAGGTGAGATCTGGTTTCGCCTTGATCAAAAAGGTAGCGACCCAGTACCGCTCGGACCATATCGCAAGTTAAGGCTCGGGCTTCCTTGCTTCCTAGGAACTTGCCCTCCGCACTTTTTCCCATGCAAGTGCCGCCACGCACTGGATGGGGCTGGGTGTTAAGATGCTTCGCTTGCTTCTCTAAATCCTTTCGCGGTTATAACCACAAACTACTTAAAGTCGACGTCCGGCGAGTGGCAGCCATTGGATATCGATGCGTTGCGCTCGCGTATCGGATATATCATCAATATGGCCGACTACTCCTCGCCCTCCGCCCTCTGGTCGTGCTCAGCCCGCAGAAGGGTGCGGCGCTCATCACGCGCTCGGAGGATGGAGGGCACTCGCGCATGCTTCTAATCAAGCGCTGACGAAACCACTCGACGCGCGATTTCGGGAAGAGTCTACTCCGTCATTCGAAATGAAGAGCCCCTGCTGGCGTTGTTCCGCCTGCTTCTATAATAATTACGGTTCTGCGTTGTTACTTAGGCTGTTTCTTGGCGATATTCCTCGTCCGCCTCCCACATGTGCCTTCTAATTGTCATGTAGAGGTGAAGCGGTTTTGCGGCCTGAGAAAGCTGCCCGCGCCACTGAGCACCGCATGCATGCGCCACGGGTCGACGCGCATGACCGTTTCCGACTGACCGCAGAGGAGAAGAGGAAGGTGCTACAAGCTCAAGCGGATCTAGAGAAAGAGCACCGGGATCAAGGGGACTCCCCCTACTGTCAAGCCGCTAATGCAGCAGCTGACGAGGCGCAGAATCACCTATTACAGCAGCAGCATGCAAAGGATAAGGCGTACTTTAAACCGACTCACGTGGATTTCCTTCGGCCCGGTTCAAAATATCCCAAGGCAGCACAGCGGCAGATTCAGAAGGCCAAAACGCGTGACGTTCCTGCTGAGGAAGACCAAGCACTCGATGGTAATATAATTGATCTCACGGCTTTTTCAGTATAACGTAATTTGATCTCACTGCATTTTCAGTATAACGCAACTTGATCTCACTGTATTTTCGGTATAACATAATTTAACTAGCTTCGCAAACCAAATTGTAGATGATTATCAGTTGTTTTTTCTTTCACAATTTTTGGAAGCTCATCCACATCGCAAACTACTATAGGTATGACGAATGATGCGGAGCATGTACTTGAAACTGCAGATTCCGGCGACTTGTCAAAGTGTGCTGGTTCAAGGGGATCGACGTCAGGCGCTCAAAGCAGTACATCCGCACGTGACGCGGCTGTGAGCAAAGGTACACCTCAGCACGATCCTGCACCTTATTTTAGTTTTCCTGTGCCCTCCAACTCTCTCAGAAGATTACTGATTCATGATTATTCATCAAGCTGGCTTTAGTCGGACCTACTAGCTTCTTCATTTCCTTTCGCATTAAATCTGATTAAATTGCACGAAGGTTCCGCTGGTCTCCGGCCACAAGAAGAGCCGAGTTTTGTGGAACATAATCCTGGGCATTTGTCGCATGGGCGGAACGGCTACTGGGAGAGGAGTAGTTTTGGCGGATCCGATGAGCAACTAATATCGCATGGTTTCAACCATCCCGATTCACAGAAGCACAATAGTTGCTCTTTTGCTGGCGAGATCGAGTCAGGGCGCGATGGCGTTTTCTTCGGCAATCGGGACAAGTCCTTTCCCCGAGGGGAACACGATGAACATTTTGGTAAACGAGTAGAATACGCAAGCGACCCCGAGCGGGATAATTTGAAACGCCATCACGCCGGCCGAGCAGGTAAGCACTCAATTAAGAACTACGCGATTTAGCTCATGCTTGTTGTACTTTCGTTTGTGGGTCATCCTATGCTTGCTTGTCACGTTTCTCTCTCTATTTATTTTGCTTATATTCACAAACTACACCTTATTGTTGTTGTCAAATGAGTATACTTCCCTTCCTATTCCAGCGCATCAAAGCCAATACCATGGGTCGTCATTTGCGCCCAGACCCTTTGTCAATTCCCCACGGCGCGAAAATCCTTACTTCCGCAGCAGAAGCGACAGCACATACCACGATCAACGTAATTAAGATATTTCAGCTTGCACACGAGATTAAATTCATTTGATGTAGTTCGATTCGACCCACCCTTCCTCACAAAGGAAATAAAACGAATCGTTTTATTTTCAATGCACCCATCCTTCACAAATTATTTTCATTTTATTGCATTAGGTCACAACCCGTATCTCCGCCGACCTGAGAATCCGAATATGTACGAATGCCCAAGTAGGTCTACTTCTATTGGTACTACAGCAGCTATACACAAAAAGAACCTAGCGCGCGACTTTTTTGGTAACGTGGGCCTGCAACTGGGGTCCGCTGGAGAACATGGACAACGCCAGTATGGATACATGAGACACGAACAACATCGACCAGTTTCCATGCCACGCAGTAGGCACGATGAGCGCTTCATTGGGAAATCTCATCCTGGGGTGTGCGCATCTAGTAGTAGTAATCGTGCCTACGAGCGCGATACTCAACAAGCATCATCATCAACCCAAGTTCCGTCTTATAGACAGCCAGAATGGGATCAATCTTGGGCAAACCGTAGACCTCCGCGCCGCGCTGGAGATAGTAGGTCGCCATATCGCGACAGGCATCATCCACGTGACTTCTTCCTCCATCAGCAACCGCAAGTACAACAGCAGCCGACTATAAATGTTAGCGTGCGGTGCGAAGCTCCCTCGCATTGGGATAAAGGTGGAAGCAGTCAGGGAACAAGTAGTTTTAAAGCTTCAACTCGATCCGACGAAATCAAAAAAGACCGTAATATGCGTGAACAGATCGCTCAATCAACCCAGGATCCATCCTGTGCCCAAGACAACAAATTCCCCCACCCCTACTTCCGCTAGCTCACAACCTAGATCATCAAGTATATTAATTATCAACTTACAAAATCGACTTTTTATGAATGAACTTGATCTTATATGCTTCTGGTTAACTTAGTTTTTTCTTTCAGTGGAATACATCAGCCTATATATGTCAAAAAAATACGTTCGATAGAGTATTCACGATTTAAAAAAAAATTCCACGTTCGTTGATTTTGTTTCGTAGACCACATTAAGCTACGTGTGAAATGCGATTGCGTCCCGTGCAATAAAGTGAACAGACTGTGAAAAGGACAATTTATTATCAGACATTCCCGGACTTCGCTCATGACGATAGTTTCTTTTTCGCCCGAGGGCCGCACTAGTAGAACTCAACCACCCCGGCATCGGTCGAAAAACCGTGGCCGCTGGTGACCTGCCTTTCACCTGCTGAAGTGTTCAAGTGATGAAATACCTAACCCCACAACATGCAGGCCTACATTGATTGGTATTTAGCTCGTTTATTGACTCACTTTTTGAGCAGTAGGACTGAAATTTTCGCAGCCTTCTAGATGGACCTCGAATGATTCCAATATAAGTAAGTGAAACCTAAACTACCCCTTAGAATAATTCAGCATCAAACGGCATATACATGCAGTATTTACTTCCAAAACATGGCGTCGTTATCGGCTACAACTGCCCCGACCTCCGTATTCCGGACTGAAACTTGGACGTTGCTGGGCGTCCGAGCGCATCACACTCACCTGACGATCGAAATCCAACGAACCCGTATAACCGGAAAGGGTGTACCAAACTACTACTAATACCGCAGTGAATGCCGACATCTTTTCAACAGCTAATCAAGAACAAATACAAATTGATCACGCTATTTATATCCGATTCACCAAACCAATACTTTGAAACAACGCAACTCATCCAGTTTCAAGAGCAGCATTCTGAGCTCCACCGAATTTTCATCCCGCCTGGAGCGAAGCGTTGTCGGCTGATATCCGGGTACCTCAGAACCCACACCGACCTATTGTTCGTGGCTATCAAGGCTGACACTTTTTACGAAGCGCTTCGGACGGTCTTGCTGATGCTTTTGCGAGACAGAGATTTGGACAAAAAGGCACTATTAAAGTTTCTTCTTTCGTACAGATCGCAGTAAATGGAACCTCATAACACCTAATAGGTTTTATACACTTATATCCTTTCCAAAGCCCAACTCCCCATCAGTCTCATATTCCTAAATTTTGTAGTCAACCCATTTTCTGACTGTTCACAGGGCGAAAGCACCCAGCACGAGCCTTCTTATCGCAGCGGTTTCCCCCAATGGACAATAGCGTTGTGCACCTCTCAGCTCACGTTAAGGCTACCTCTCATTCACGTCCTATTTCTTAGGTGTAGAATCAGGTCCATCTTAGTAGAGTATATTATTTAGTAGTGGAAATACATCGCTTATCATTCGTGCCTTGCATTTCCTACTCATCAAAACCGTTCTAAATTCTGCGATGCGAATGGCAATAAGCGCGTCCAAGTGTAGCTTCCGCGATTTGGATCGGAATTTGACGGAAATGAACGTGTACCAGCTGCCGCTTAAGTTAAGATTACACTTTAATTGAAGACTGCTGATTTAAATTCATGAAGGATGTCAACACCTACGTACGCGTACTTCGGGCTCTTCCGTATGCTCGTCATTAGTCCGAGACTTCTAAAACAAAAGCAACTGGACGCTGCCGAAGAGGTTGTGACCTTCTGTGATCAATGTTGCGACCTTATGGCACAAGGCAGCAAGGGATTCAATAAACTGGCGTCCCGTTTGCTGCATCCCAATACGAACGATTTCCCTTGGTCGCTCCGCAAACTGCAGCTCGCATGTAAGCTAAACGACGAAATCTCCAACGCACTCAAAGACGAATCCGAGAAATGGGTGGAGCAGGATGATTATGGGTGGTTCGTAAAACGTCGCCATCTTGAATGGACGACCGTGGCAGCTTCTCACTGCACGGGACATCAGCGAGAGAAGCTGCCAGTCACATAGCAAATGCTGACTCTAAAAACGCGAAATCAAAAACGCACCGGAACCCGAGTTGCCGCAGCTGCCGACGGAACCGGTGGAAGCAGACGAAGCGAACGAAAAATTTACGGCCCACCAAGCGGCCAACCCGTTTTACAATACGCATAGCGACCCCATGGATGTAGACGACGATGCATGTAGTGCTGATTTTCGCGGGGACGAGCGTTCCGAGGACTGGGAAAATCTGGAGACCACACAACAACCACCCATTACCCCTACTACACCTGGAGGAGTGCGCTACACCCTTACCCCACAGTGCTCTGGGAGGACGTCTACCATGACCCATCTACTCACTGAGAATACTTCCACCTAGTTCAGACGGAGAGCGTTTCGACCTAGCAAATTCATTGTGTAAACCTCATTATTTAGTAATATCCAAATATAATACATGATGATCGCACATTCAACATCAATCCATGTGAAAGTGTACGTCCACGGAATATAACATACACATATCCGTCTACTACTCCATACTACCCATAGCTCACATTCTTGTAACAAGCATATTAATTCTTGTCGCTCCGCGATCAGATTACATTTATTTACTACATCATACTTTGAGCCTACATTTCAACCTAACTGCTACCCGATTCATTTACCTACATTTTTATTCGCAATCCAAGAAATCAACGTCGCGCACCGAAAGAAAATGCGTTAAATCAGAGACCCATAATTGTCTATTATGCTTCCAACCCAGAAACGAACTAATAAGGCCAAACAAAATTAAAAAACATTTCTGTTAGGCGAAGTCCAACTAAGCCTTGCTTTAGGCGGTTGAAATGCCTCAATTTGTGTTACGCGAAGTTCAACTAAACCTTACATCAGACGGTTGAACTTCGCAACTTTGTGCTGGGTGAAGTTCAACTAAACCGTGCTTCAGGCGATTGCACTCCGCTACTTTGTGTTAACCTTGCTTCAGGACGTTGAACTCTGCTACTTTATCTTAGGCGAAGTTAAACTAAACCTTGCTTCCAGACGTTGAACTACACTACTTTTTCTTAGGCGAAGTTCAGCGAGTCCTAGCTTAAGGACGTTTCCCTTGCTCTGCATGAACATTACTTTCAGCACCCGCTCCCACGCCCCCGCGCCCCACGCCCCCGCGCCCCCGCGCCCCCGTTGAGTCCTTCGAGTGCAAGAAGTCCCGAAGTGGAACCCTCCAGTCCTTTACCCTCTGGAGACTTTCCCCTCATCCGGAGAGGGAAAGTCCCCCCAGGAACCGGAGGTGGACTTTCCTACACACGAAGGATTCAACAGGGGCGCGGGGATCTGTGGGGCGCGGGGACGGTTGGGCCGTGGGATCGGCTTTATCCGCACGCTGAGATTAGTTTCCGTTGAGGTCAATGGAGCGCGGCTTTGTGCAGTTTAGGTTGAATTCAGATCACTTGAACGAAAGGAGGGAAACTTGGTGCAGGTTGGATTGAAAGGAGGTGAATGGAGCGAAGCTTTGTGCAGTTTAGATTGAAATGAGACGAATGGAGCGGAGCTCTGTGCCGGTTAGATTGAATTCAGATCAATGGAGCGCAGTTTTGTCCAGTTCTACTTGAATGAAACTTTATTCAACTTCTATTCTACTTGAGCGAATCATTATTCAGCTTAGCTTAAATTCAGATCACTTGAGCGAAACTTTGTCTAGTTTAGTTGACGTTGGTGCGAATTGAGTGGCAGAAGCTTATTTAGCGTGTCGATTTCGGAGAAGAAAAAT